CAGAATAGCAGATAACGAGCCCAAAGCAATATGCACAGCATCTACGTGAAAACAGTCGTCTCCTGGCTGGCAAGGACTATAATACAATCACTCTCTTATTTCAGGGAGGGGTCCCAAACAAAATAATCCAAAAAACGTTCTTCCACTTAACGAGTACTATTACCATCAATTATTTTAATGACAAAAATAATACAGGTTTTCCCCAAAAACTACTTTGCTAAGAAAGTAGCCAAAAAAAAAAAGAAAAAAAAAAGGTTAAAAACCCTGGTCGGGGAAAGGAAGAGATCTTCCCTTAATATTCACATTCTGTTTCAATCTTTCGCAATGAGGCCAGAAAGAAACTTCTAAAAAGCAGATTATCCATATTATTCTTATGAGCTCAAATGAGTTTTACAGATACAGAGAATTAACATTTTAGGAAATCTAGGACAAAATCCTATTAGTATTCATCACTGTTCTGCAGATTATAGATGGTATCTATGTGGTTCATTAAATTCCTCCTTTAAAAAAAGAAAAAAACACAAAAATGCCATCATGACAGTTCACTGATGTGGACCAATTCAACAGTGGACATCAACTTTATAAGACAACCAAGGAACAAGAGGCTGGACACGCAGAGAGATGTCCCATATTACAACACACACACATTACTCTCTCATTCCAGCAGAAAAAGAACTCCTCCCTCACTACAAAATGCTTCAAGTTAGACGGACAAAAAAGCAAAACGAGAAACGCATTTATCTTGGCAGCAGGATTAGAAAATTATGTTCCAGGAGATGTTCACATTTCCTTTCACATTACAAATGAAGGAAGGAGATATTTTGCTGAAACCCCCAAAATCTTTCAAAGATATTTATTTCTCTATGGTAAATTCAGGTAGAAAGGCTGGTACAGAACAGTACTGTCCAATAGAACTATAATGCACGCTGTACACATAAATTTTTCTAGTGGCTACATTAAAAAAAAATGGTGAGGGGCTGGCCCAGTGGCGTAGTGGCTAAGTTCGTGTGCTCCACCTCGGCAGCCTGGGGTTCACAGGTTCAGATCCTGGGCGCGGACTGACAGACTGCTTGTCAAGCCATGCTGTGGTGGTGCCCCATGTATAAAGTAGAGGAAGATGGGCTCGGACGTTAGCCTAGGGCCAATCTTCTTCAGCAAAAAGAGGATTTGCAATGGATGTTAGCTCAGGGCTAATCTTCCTCACACACACACACACAAAAAGGTGAAATTAGTTTTAATATTTAACCTAATATATCCAAAATATTATCACTTAAAAATGTAATCAATATAATAATTACTAATGAGATATTTTACATTCTTTTTCTCATACTAAGTTTCCAAAATCTGGAATATATTTTACACTCACAGCACATCACACATTCAACTAGGTACGTTTCAAGTGCTCAGTAATAGTTCTATGTGGCATGGTGGTACCATGCTGGACAGCCTGTTCTGTGCTATAGAGCTTTCATTTCCATAACATTAATAATGATAGATATTTGCACTGGAGCTTTTTCAGTGCAAAGTTTGGTTACTGTGAATTTTATTATTTTAGAACCAAAAATTATGTATATTACAAGAGTGTGGAGTGTTGTTTTATAAAAAGTTCTAAATCTCTGTGCCATTCATTATAAGCAGTACCAAGTTTTCAGCTAATATGCTTTCAAATGCCAGGGTCCTTAGCCTATTAAAAATGTGGTCCTCTGGAAGCAGGAGCCTCAGGAGATAAGACTGCATTGTAGTTTCTTGTTTTTCTACCTACCAATCAGTTCACACACATGAAAACACACCACTACCACACACGCTGGGTTATACTCACATGATGCTGACCTGTCTCATTCAGCTTAAGGGTTATTTAATTATGAGTACAGATTCAATATAATCTCCTATGACTTAAATCATTTTTTAAAATAAGTATAACATAATTTTGGCCTATTGTTTTAAGCCTATTATATGTTGACATACTAAGATAATGTGCATATTTAAACATGCAGTCTATATAAAGATTTCCGTTTGGTGAAATTCTGTAGCAGAAACCAAATCCTGACATTAATTTTCTACCAAATAACTAGAACTGATGAGCTTTAAAACAGCTTCAAAGAAGAACCCTTCTGAAGCACAGAGAGGTTTCCAAAGTACATCTTCTCTTGGCTGATACACTGCCAAGCTGAAAATTAGCATGCAATAAAAACACACAAAATACGCCTTTATCTTTATTTTCTCCAAATAAAGTTTCACATGCTTTTCATACTTCTGGAAATAATTTCATTTCAGAAGATTTTTCTACTCTAAATGTGGTTTTGCTTCACTTTAGTAGTTAAATAAGCATTAACCAATAAAGGTAAGTATAAACAACTTTTAAAAATTATTAAAAACAACACAACAGAAAAAAGATGAAAGACTGAAGACAGATTTCCAAAAAGAAATAGGAATTTCCATAATAAAACACGTTCAACTTATTAGTAATGAAATATATGCAAAATGAGATACCATTTTACACTCCTCAGCTCAGCAAAAATTTTAGTCTGATGATCCCAAATGTCGGCAAGGATCCAGAGTACCGGAAATTCTAGTGTAGCGGTGGGAGCGTAAGGTGCTACATGACTCTGGAAAGCAACTCGGTCTTATCTACTGAAGATGATTATGTGATTTATTGTACAACACAGCAATTCTATCCAAGGTACTCATCCACTCTGCATATGTGCACCAGAAATCACATAAAGAATGTTCACAGCAACACTTCCTTTTTCTACTTCAAAGAAAGATGCAGTTCAATGTCCAGCAACAGGAGAAGGGAAAAACTGATATTCATACAATGAAATAATACTTAGAAGTGAAAATAAATGAACTAGGTTACTTGTTTAAAAATGATAATACCCCATTGCTACGAACATAAAAAGGAAGTGACAGAAGAATCCAGTTTAATCCCATTTACTGTTATTTAAGGATACACACATGAAGGTAAAATGGTAAAGGACAGAAAGGCTGCGATCAACACAGAGCTCAGGAGACGGGCTCTGGCTATCAAACAGGGACGGGGTAGGGTCAGAGAAGAGCCACAGTGCTTAGAGGAAAGGCAGGAGGCTGGTGGCAGGCACACAGGGGTTTATTGGTCTTCATATTTTAGTGTGTGTGTGTATATATATACACATAATATATATGTGTGTGTATGCATATATATTCCATTGCACACATGAAATAATTTTAAAAATTGAAATGTTTGTAGTAAACAAAGAAAAAGATCGTACATAACGTTTCAGCTGAGCAACCATCACCTGGAGCGCCGTGCACTTGCCCTAAGTCTCCTTCACTCCTCGGCTGTAACTGCTGCTGTCGCTTCTGTTTCTCTCATCCTTGCAGGTGGAGACTCTTGTGCCGGTTACATTCCAGGGGCTCAACAGATGCTGACTGAAAGGATAACCAAACTAGCCTGACCTGCGTTTCTGGAAGAACTAGGAAAACTCTGAAAATCTGGGTTACAAGTGGGCGGTGAGTACTTGGCTGACTTGGTTTCACGATTTAACACATTTCTGCAAACTTACAGCCTGTTCTCTTTTATCTCCTCCTTCACCCTCCCTCTGTCTTGGTGTTTAAAGTTTGAAATAGTTCAGTGATGAGATCACCCTGAGACATTGCCTTCAGAAGTGTTGTCTCCTGCTTTTAGAGGCGGCTGCATCAAAGGCGGCCCAGCCATTAAGAGTTGCAGCTACACTCTACTTGTTTTCTGCGCCCAATTAGGGGAGCAAATCCACCAGCCTGAGGCTCAGTGTCCCCAGGAAACCACAGTCATCGACTTGAACCAACCACGGGATGAGTGATTTAATGCCGTCCTCGGTCCTGGTCACTGTCTGAGATGATTCTGTGGTCACTTCACACACACACACACACACACACAGGACCACACATGCATCTCCTCGAATGGTCAAATGATCCATCTGCATTTTTAAAACTAATCTGCAGCTTCAGGAATAGAGTTCACGGAAGGGAGTAGAAACACAGCATCCCAAATAAGGAAGGTTTCAACCAAACACAACTAAAATCAGAAAAGGTGTAAGAAATGGTAGAGCACAAACACTCCATTTTCAGAATGTGTTTTCTGGAATTTATTTCTCTTTAATGCTGAATATAAAATCTGAGATTTCACCAGTGCCTTTAGAGACAAATGCATACAAATTGAAATCTAAAAACAATTATGCAGTTTAAAGTGGGCCCTGACAATTAAGCTGTTAAATGAAAAACATTTCTAGGAAAAGCAAAACTCTATACAGCAAAACCAAATTAAAACAACACAGAAGGAGGCTTTGGTACCTTTCAATAATAGAGGACAAAAATAAGTTTAGTTCACTATTAAATTCATGTAATATAAAAACATCTATGTGGGAGTGTTGAATAAATCTGTAAAACAGAAACAAATCTAAAATATATTACAGTCTGAGAGAAAAAAAAATCTTCCTTTTCTCCTGTTTGACTTTAATAGAACACCAAAATTTGGAAAAACAAGTATATCCCCAACTAAATTTTCTTCCAGTCTGCATATACCTAGCAGGATGGTAATGTGTATTTTATCTAATTGTAAAATGGCATAATTTGATTTTTAGCAGCACATTTCCTTTGCGTCAACAAGCCTACTACAGGAAATAAAAATCCTGTCTTGAAATGCCCTTGTTATTACATCTATGTCCACTTCTTTCCTAGGCTTTAAGACTGTGATTATCCAAATCTAAAGGCAGCTAATTAAGGAAAGGAATAAAATCATTACATGTTTGGAATTCCGTCGGTAAAACAGTACAAGGACACAGTAATGTTCTCTGAACAGTGTGGTCCCGGAGGGCAACACCGCAGGATCTGCAGGGCCTGGGTGCCGGCAGTGAACGCCACAGGTGTGCTTCCAGCTCACTCACAACCAGTACGGGACCAGCCAGGCTGCTCTCTATTTCTTTGCAGATTAAAGAAAAAAGGGGGGCCGGGGTAGATGATGTGTGACTGCGGTAGTAAGTTAGCACTACTATCCATCTGGTCTGTTTAGGAGAGCCCTACTGGGCCTGCTATAACCACAGTAATTCAAAAGTTTTAAGACAAACAAATGTGAGTAGCTTTCTTTGTCTAGCAAGTAATTGTGTTGATCCTACCACCCTGCAATTTAACTTGAAGAGCCTATATCTTACCAACTTAGTGCTTGGTGCTCACCGGCAAAAGTAGACTAAATGTAAGTTAGATCATGGTAACATTAAAATTTTTTTTAATTGCTGTATCGTAAACAGAAATTCTAAGTCTTATCAGATGACTCAGATACTCAAACACAATATCCAGTTCAAAAAAAAATTTCCTGGATAGTCCCTGGGATTCATCAAATGGAATTTGACCTGGATCTTATTTAATGCCAACTAAGCAGTAATATCCATGATTTCACAACAGCTTTCCTTTGAGAGAAAATTGTGGATCGTGCATCTGTTCCAGTCAAGGAGAATTCTGTGGCATGTTTCTCTTCTGGTTGTGGTCCTGGGCTGTAAGTCTCGGGCTGGGATTTCAGCTTTAGCATTCAACAGTTTTTTAGAATAGTCCACAGTTAGCAAGTGGGAGGGTGAGAGAACACATGTGACAGGGCTTTAATTCTTTTGTTCTTTCAATTTCTTACAAACTTCCAGCTCAGAATCTAAACAGCAGATCCAGCATCAGGATGCTGAGAACAGCAGAATATTTTAAGCAGCCCTCTGCGAGTTTATCCTATTCAAGACTGTTCCCATGTTTGGCAACTAAAAACTCTAAAAAAAGGTAAGCAGGAAGAAGGATGCAGAAAAGCAGCATCTACCCTAATGAAGCAGACACGTTCAGGGTTCATCAGTGTCCACTCCAAAGGGAGCAGAGATTTTGCATGCCAAGTAAAATTCGGAGTTACTCTCTGCTGGCCCCCTTCTTGTATATGCTGCTCTGAAAACTTACTGGTGCTCATATATGGAATGAGAACACTATCTACATTATTCTGAAAAACCTGGGACTGTGCACTGGCCAGAAGTATGAGTTAGTAAAGTTAGAGGACCAATGAAGAGTAACACAGGAAAAAAATTAAATTGTACAGCAATATCAGTATGTTTTAATATGCCTCATCAAGGGTTCATAAAATATATCTAAGATCTTCCTTTCTCAAAAAAATATAATCCCTTCACAAAATAGAATAAGCAGCTGTTAGGGGAGCTGCGTTTAAACACACATGTGCACTCACACATAAATAAGTTGCTAAAGCTGCAAATGCCTTCAGATATGAGTCAGATAATTTTCCTATGAATTTACTAATTAGTGCACCTCTTAAAATGTAACTTTTAAGCAGTCTTATGCATTTAGGTGAAACTTTCCCCTTGCAAGAAATAAAGTATATATTTTCCAAAACAGCAATTATTTTCATTCCTGTAACTTGGGTCTGATCACACGTTTTTGCAACAGAGATTTCTGGAAACCATCTGTAGGAGCTTGGAGGATTTATGGAGATAAGAGTCTCCACTACCAAAAGGAGGCTAGAACATCTAACTTTTTCTACAGGTGTTATTACAAAGCATAGTGACGTTTGTGATTCTGCAGCAAAAATCTTCAGCCCTTTGTCAACCAGCATTGTTTTTTTCCTTTCTGATCAAACGATTCTAATAGCCTGACAGACTAATCTCAAGGATACAATCCAGGCAGCTTAAAGAGAAGCAGGTCTGAGCAATACCGGTATCAATTACAACCCAGGGCAGATCCAACATTTTCTCTCTGATGGTGCTACCCACTTATCTTTCCATCATGAAGGAAGCACAGCTGTCTCAGGTTAACAGCACCTCCAGAGGAGTGAGGCAATTGCAGGCAATTCTGAAAATAAGGAAAAACCCACCACAGTCTTATTTGGTTTAAAGCAATCATGCAATCCCATTACTCCCACATCTTCCAGAAACACCTTTTCCATGGCAAGCAAAGTTACTGGTGATGCATGTGGCTTCTGTCACAGGGATGCATTAGGTAAGCAGGTGTGTGCTGAGTACCAGAGGGTGCTCCCAAATGCATCTCCATCATCTTCCACTTGTCTTCTCTACGGTTCTGCCTGTTTATTACCAAAAAAGAAAAAGGTCAGTTAATGTATTGCATTGACAAGAAAATTCACCCTGGCAGTGATATTTTAAATGTCAGAAACAGGGATGTTGGCAATCACAATAAATCAGCCCACGTGATTGATAAGAGCAAATCCTGGGTTTCAGGGTCAGAGCCCAGATTGTAATTACACCCACCTGACCTGCTACATATAAAGTGGAAAGAGAGCCACAGGTTTTCAACAACTGCTGAGGCTCCTCTCAGAGGTACTGTTCCACTCGCACCTGAGTGGGGAGTGTGGGGGTTGCCTCTCTCAGGGGGCCTGCAGAGGGTGACGATACCTATTGGTAAACAGCCACTGCCCCAAACCCCCAAGTGCTACCCCGGGCCCCTCCCCCAGGGATGGCTCCATGATTCAACCACTAAACAGACACCTGGCACAGGGGGGCCTCCGAGACTGCTCCAGCTCCGGCCGGTCAGTGCCCCAGGGTTGACCAACTGTTACATATGTTGAATACCACCTCTGAATGGCAGAGATCCAAAAGCAGAAACTTCTACTTCAAGCCCCACTTTGAGTCTATTAAAATAACAAACTTGATGGTTTTCTACCGGAAAATTATTGGTGAAAAGGCCTCCTTTTCTTTTAGGTAGGTACCATGGTGGGCCAGCCACTGCTGGCTCCAACCAGCCATAGGAGAAAGTGGGCTACCCCAAGGTTTCCATACCTTCCGACTTTTCAAGAAAAGTGGGAAATCTGTATTTTAAATATTAGCAACCTATTTAAATTCTTTTAAAAATTCTGTGCAGGACATACACATCCAGAGCGAATGTGGCCTGCAGGCCATCATTCTGTGACCTCCTACCTTCCTCTGCCCTGTCCACTCTGAGAACTGCCCGGAGCCTATACTGCACCTGTCTATAGCCAAGAACGTTCTTTTCCCAGTATCTCTCGTCTCTCTCCTCACTGTGTAAGAGCAATTACAGATGCTAATGGTGTCTTGACATGTTCCCTGGCAGGCTTTCTGGCCCTGGCTTTTCTGTGTGAATGCCGCAGAGAGGGGAGGAAAGGAGATGAGAAAAGGGGCTTCCATCTCTTAGTGCCTTCCACCTGTGAATGCTCTGTCGAGGCCCGCACTCTGGGCCTACAGTGTAGACTGTGTAATAAATTGCTACCAAAGTGAAAAAGAAATAACTAGAAAGGAGGAAAACGCTGAGCTTCTCTTGAAGACATTTGTTTCTCTCTCCTGTGAAGACAAAGCATGAGCCGCTGTGAACTCATGAGACCCTGAGTGGTTCCTGAGAGGGGTGGCACAAACGCTGCTCCACGGACTGCCATCTGCTCCACGCGCTCCTGCTCAGGCGTGACTCACTCAGGCCCCGCAATGGTGGGATGACTGGGGGGATGCGCAGAGCGCTGGCTGCCTTTGCAATGGTCTATTGACCAAGCAGACGTCAACGGCATCAAGACCACTTCTAATACTACGACCACAAGTCAGGTAAGAATGCACATTGTATAGATCATAGGTTTCCTGCGACACTTCTGAGAGATGAATATTTTTAAAAAGTAAAAAAGTCATCCGGCAGAGTCTCTAAGGAATCTACGTCTTCAAGGGAAATGAGAACAAAGGTGGCAAGCGCACAGTATTTTTTTAAAGGTTTTTGCACAAACAATGATGTCCACTGGATTTAAACATCCATTAGATTACTCCTGCCCCAGTTTTTTCCAGTTCTTTGAAGATAAATCTGGATTGTTTAATATCTTTGGATGAAACATGTTATAAAAATACTACAATTTTCCTAACAAGTATTCCAATGCTCCATCTTTATAAAAATAGTTTTAAGAACCTTTAAATATTATATGTGTGGGTTTGCCTCTGTTTAAAACATGTACATGGAAACCACCCACGCCCATCTGTGGACTCTGATGTAAAAACAAAGCCAGACCTCACCTCGGCTGTGAGCTGCAGGTGCTGGTGTATAATTTATATTACTGATAGTCTCCGCCCTCCTCCCACAGGTGTTCCAGAAATGGTACAAATCCTAGGCAGCCTCAGAAGCCGTATTACTTACAGACATCAAAGTTCCCAGTAATACACTTTCATTTCAATTCAGTGTGAGAAATAGACACTTTAGAATTCAGTCTCAATTTGAAATACAGTCAAAACCTCAATTGCTATGTATATAAAGACTGCAAGGAAATACACAAAAAATGTTAATGTGGTTATCTCTGGGTGGGGGGATAATAGGTGATTTTATTTTCTTCTTTATACTTTTTTGTATTCTCCCAGTTTTTCAAATGAGCCTAGGCTACTTTCATAATCAGAAAAAAATAGTGTTTTTTAAAAAGGGAAATAATCAAAATATTACCTCATTTAATAAAGAAATGCTATTTTTTATTTTGAAAGTGGATCCATGTGCTTCACAAAGTTGTGATAATATACACTATTTCTAGGTCTAAATATTAGAAGAGCCTGAGCCTTTTATGTTCTCTAAAGGACACACGACATCATGAAGTGGCTACAAACACATTCCTATTAGTTTAAGAATTGCAGCATTTTTCTCATGGCTGATCATTTGTTACTGCAGACCATCTATCTCCCTTTGGATGTAAATGAGTTCAACAGGCAAAAGACCTTAAAAATATGGCTTTGATTCTGCTATTTCAAAAAATGTAAAATAATGTAAACTTGCACTTTAAAATAGAAAGAACTTACTACTTTTTGCTACCTTAAATTCTTCTTGGAAGAAGGGGGTATAAATTATAAATAAACTAAATTATAAATAAAAATAAACTCTAGTATACAGTAACAATTAAAAATTGGAAAGAAAAAAAACTAGACTTCTTTGCATGTTTTTACACTGGGCAGTCTCTGTGCATTTGAGAAAGCGAAAGCCAAAAATCTGGAGACTATATATGCATTCCTGTAACACCTTCAACCTCAATCCCTAAGAACAATTTGAGAAAAATGAATTTTAAAACAAGAAAAGATTTACCTACCGTTGATGCCAACCGTGATTTTAGGCCTAAGAATGAAAAGACTGTGTTGCTTTCCTTTGATTCAAAAAAACTCTCATAATCCTAGAAAAAAGGGGAGAAGAAAATCAACAAAAGCGAACAATTATCTTTGGTGTTTTTGACAAATTTTTTATGGAAATAAAAAATGTACCATTGCTCCATTCAGGCCAGGGAAGAGCTACATAAATGTACTGCGAATTTGCTCTGCTTGAGCCTAAACATTTTTTTTTTTTTTTAAAGATTTTATTTATTTATTTTTCCCCCAAAGCCCCAGTAGATAGTTGTGTGTCATAGCTGCACATCCTTCTAGTTGCTGTATGTGGGACGCGGCCTCAGCATGGCCGGAGAAGCAGCGCGTCGGTGCGAGCCCGGGATCCGAACCCGGGTCGCCAGCAGTGGAGCGCGCTCACTTAACCACCAAGCCACGGGGCCGGCCCAAGCCTAAACATTTCTTTGCATAAGATGACAAATGGTAACAAGTTTTTAACACAAAGCCTGTGACAAGATTAAAATGTAAAACATCGACAACGGAAATGAAATGGGAACACGCTCCCTTTCCCTTGTGTGCCAAACTAACATCTCCCTGTGTGGAATCACTCTGACCTAAGATTTACTGCAGCACTTGAACATGGAAGGCTGCCTCCCAACTCCACTCCTGATATTTTGTTATTTAGGACTTTAAGAAAAAATCACTGGGTAAACAGAAAGCCGTAAAGGTCTCCATGTGTCAACGTGAGTGCTTCTAATCTGCTTTTGAAGTTTTCCACATTTTTGAGATGATGTCTTCAGAGAGAATAAAAAGATCAAATAAAAACGAGAGGAAACTATATTCTCTGTAACATTTATCTTTGCCTCAGACACAGAATCGTTTTTCTCTCCTTACTTTCAGAAAAGAATCCATCAAGGAATTCTGGTCAATATGTTTATCAATTGTTTCTTTTCAAAAGTTTGCATATATAATACTAGAGAGTTTCTAAGCTAATATAAAGCAGTCTTAAAATTTGATAGAAGTCCGCTTGATAACTCTATCCTAAGGATAAATATCATAAGCAGACAACGATCAGAATCACTTTTAGGCACATGCTCTGTGCCAGGTGCCCTACAATCAGTACGTCATTGGATCCCCACCAGAGCCCACCAGGTTGGAGACTGGCTCAGAGCAAAGAAACATGTTGCCCAAGTTTGACAGCCAATACGTGAGAGAGCTGAGATTTTGGCCCAATTCTCACTGACCTTGAAATTGATGATTTTTGTACTCTGTGATGCTTCTTGCCCAAGAGGAAAGCAGGTATGGGGGCACCCTGCATACCAGAGTCACGGAGCCCTAATGAAGCCACTGCTGAGCCAAGCCAATGGCAGCACAAGTACTTTGAAACCTGTCTAGGGATCTACATGAGAGTCGATGACTTAGAGAGTAGAGACCTGCTTCCTGCCCAGCACGCCTCAGTTCATGAAAAACCTCTGAATGACTGACTCTGTGCAGAGTAGCGAGTCGAGTCTCACGTGGTCTTGAAGGCAGCTTGGTTGTAATCCACGGTCATCTCAGCCTCAGGCCGCGCCCTTGCTGCTCCTTCTGTTGATCTGCACGGGGCAGCTCCCTCCGTTAGTGGATCGGGCCTAATGCCACTCACCTCCAAAGAGAGGCCCTCCTTGACCATGCCAAGGAGGAGCGACACATCTGAAGAGGGAGGCTCCGCAAAGACCTCCTGGAAAAATGGCATTTTAAGCTGAAATCTGAAGGATGAGTAGAGCTGGCCTAGTAAAGGGCCGGGACAGGGGCATTTGGGACGGGGACAGCACTGGCGGAGAGCGAAGCTGGCAGGTGTGACAGGGATCAGCATATGGCAGGCTGTAAACCAAGAAAAAGATTTTAAATTTTATCTAAAGTACAAAAGGAAAGCACGTACGGGTTCTGCTAGAATGAACTAGCTTCCTTTAAGAAAACCCCTAAGTCAGCTGTGTGGAGAATGGCTGAGAGAGAGGGCAGCAAGAAGGGAAGCAGGGAGAAGGGTGAGCGAGGACCATGGTAATTCAGAGACGGCGGCACCTGACCCAGGGCCATGGGAGTGGAGATGGGGAGAGGTGGACAGATTGGAGATGTATTTTGCAGGAAGAACTGATCATACTTGATTGTGGAATTGGTGTAGGAGGTTAGGGAGAATTAAGAATTAAAGCGGCTCTGAGCTTTGTGACTTGATGGAAAAGGCCAGAGAAAAAGCAGCTTTGAGGGTAAGGCTGGAGTTGAGTTTCAAAATATTAAGTTTGAGAAACTGTATGAAACATCCAAGTGAAGAAGATATCAGCCAGGCAGCTGGAGGTTCCTAGTGGCTCTAGGATATTACAGACTTTGTAGAATTTTATGGAAAATTTTACGAAACTGTCACTAATAATACAGGTCTAAATTTGAGGTAGAATTTAGGCAAACTCCCATGACCTGAAAATGTTGTTGCAAATATTCTTTGTAACAAAGATAATTCCAAATAGTTGAATAACATTTCACTTATCTGAGTTCAAGAAATAATCCTGTTCAATACAGACTTTCTCTACTTGATCATTTGATACTTATATTCAATGTGGTAACAGGAGGAAGAGAGCTAAACTACAGTCAGATTTATCTCACCCTTGTAAAGATCCACTATATGAAAATTGGGGTCCTTATGCCTCTCTATACCATATTCTGCCACTACTCAGTCTAAATTCTTTCCCTAGGGAATGTCATCCACAGCCAAGGTCCTAATTAAATTCGTATCTCTAGCTCTGTTTTCTTCTCTCAGTTCTGGTTCCATAAAAGCAACTAACTGTTCAGACTCTTAACATAATAGGTCTAAATTGCAATTCTGATCTTCCTTCTACCCACAAGCTGGCCCTCTCAAAAAATGGCACGACCATCTAATGGGCTCTACCAGTCAGAAATCAAGGCATCACCTCTCTTCTCTTCACAAATAACTATCTCACATATCCCTTCAACCTCTCCATTTTTCTACATCTGTGTCATCGCTCTAATCCAAGCTAGACTTCTGCAATAGCACCCCAATTTATCAACCCTTCTCCAATCTAACCTATTTCCACCCAATCATTCTCAAGTGAGGACAGACTAATCTTTTAAAAATGCAAATTTGAGGGCTGGCCCGGTGGTGCAGTGGTTAAGTTTGGCATGCTCTGCAGGTTCAGACCCTGGGAGCGAACCTACACCACCTGTCAGCCATGCTGAGGCAGCAACCCACATACAAAATAGAGGAAGATGGGCACAGCTGTTAGCTCAGGGCCACTCTTTCTCACCAAAAAAAAAAAAAAAACGTAAATTTGATCATATTGTCCTCTACTTAAATCCTTTCCTTCAAGATGTCTCATTGCTCTTAGAACACAGATTAAAATTCTTGATATGACAAAAAAGGCACTATCTGGTCTGGCTCTGACTTAGTCACAGTTGAGGAGAAGAGAGGTCATGTACTTCCACCTGCACCAATGCCATCTGGTTCACAGATGCATTTCTGAGAAACTGCGTGGTCCATATGCTCAGGTAGCTGTGGATGTGATGTCCAGCAATCTACGACCTTGAGTTCTAAGACCTTGATCAACTCACTAACCTCCTCAGACTGTTAATCCTTTCTGCATCAGATACTTCAAGTCCCTTGAAGCTCCAGAATTCTATGAAATGACGGCGCATCCAGTGGAGTTGCTCTTAAACGAGCTGTTCGCTGTGTCCAGGTGTCAAGTGCAGCCTACGTATTCCAGTTACTAGAGACACCTGTTGGAAATGTTTACCTCTCTCTGGTTGAACTGAGCAGGAAAGGGAAGAGACGACAGTGAGAGAAAAAAATTGAGGACTAGTGACTTAGTCATCAAAATGCTGTCCCAGTTCTTGAATTTTGAAAGACCTTTACCTGTTTCTACTTGATTAATAATTTCTGATGTCAGTGTGACATGCAGGAATAAAAAAACTAATGTAAAAAATAAAAAATGAGGGGCCGGCCCCGTGGCTTAGTGGTTGGGTGCACGTGCTCTGCTACTGGTGGCCCGGGTTCGGATCCCGGGCGCGCACCGACGCACCGCTTCTCCGGCCATGCTGAGGCCGCGTCCCACATACAGCAACTAGAAGGATGTGCAACTATGACATACAACTATCTATTGGGGCTATGGGGAAAAAAAGGAGGAGGATTGGCAATAGATGTTAGCTCAGGGCTGATCTTCCTCACAAAAAAAATAAAATAAAATAAAAAATAAAAATAAAAAATGAGAAACAATGCCTGACTCAACCTCTATAAATGTAGTGTGAATGCTACTTTAAAAGACTGAAGTGCTAACATGAAAATATCGTGCATGTAAAAGATCAAAAGGCAAGTTACAATGACACAATGTGTATAATTCAGGTTTCAGCGTTTATATTAAAAATCTTAACCTTAAAATGATTACAATTCTCCAAATCACAAAACTGAAAATAAGCTCAACTCTCACAAGCAAGTTTCATATACATAAAACAAGATATATAAAATATATACAGGTAGAGAAAATATGTAACATTATAGACAATCCATTTAACCATTGAACCAAAATAGTTCTCATAAATTTTAGTCACCAACAAAGGTATTTAGAAATTTCAGACAATTTAGAAACTTCAGAATGGCAACATTTCTTATTTATGTAAAAACTATTTTTAACTGTATTTCTGCCATAAAAATTATAAGCATTATTTTTATTTTATGAACCTTTAACTCAATGCCACATCACTATGGTTAGGGGGCTTCTGAACTGAATATTAAGTTGGATCCTCCCAACAGTTTAAAAATTGTCACTTAAGGTAATTAATTCCTTCCGAAGTGACAAATATACAACTTGGTAATTAACTTTAAAAGCAGAATAACTTAAAGGAAATCATTTTTAAAAGTCAATGTTAGAACAGTACCTGACACACACCAGATTACCAACAACACTCATCAAGTAGATGAATGAGCCGTGCTTGCTAATTACTGACTGACGTGCCATGCTGTAGGTAATCTCATGTAGTAACATAATTTGAGTAATTCCCATTTCTACTCTATTACTTGTGGGTTATAAAGAATTAT